AAGACGTGCCTAAATATTTTCGAAAAAAATCTATGAACTAATACAACCTTGTGATAGTTTCATAAGAAATCTAAATAACTACGAGTATTTCTAGAAAATATTGCTATGAACTTTACCTTGCTGTTATTCAAAATATTCTGAAGTAATTTAGCAGACGACTTCATGCCAGAAATTTTACGAAATTCTTTTTATTACACTGAATATATCTACATCAGAAGTAAGTACATGTGTTATATAATTTCACACCATGTATGACCAATTGTTAACCCATTTTCCTCGGCCTGTTGTTCCAAACTTTGCCGTAATAACTATTTTGCAATCTCGGATATAAGACGTCGTTACCTGGAGGTTAAGGACCACTTCTCATGCATCAAGGAGCGGGTTTGAAACCTGGCAAGTAACAATGTTCTTTTTGCCGAGTTACATGTGCTTTCTAAGATTATATAGAAACTACTGACAGACGGTGAAGGAGGACGTCGTAAAAAACCCTGTACTTATAATTGCAATTTATAAGTTTGAAATTGCCAATCCGCCTTGAGCAAACTTGGTGGTTAATGCTCTATCCTTCTCCATATGAGAAGAGGCCTATGCTCAGCAGTTGACAAAAATAAAATTGTGATAAATCTTGGATAGAGAAAAGGACGTAAAATTGGATTACGCATTGAATCGATTTAAATGTAGGACATTTACGTAATTCTTGAATATAGTAATTTGAATCCCCAAGCAAGACTTGCGCGATGTTGTGTAAGTAAACAGTAATTAATATATGCCCTTCGTTACAAACCATTTAAATAAACATTATAATTACACGTTACTTTTATAACTATGGCAATCACCAAAATAAAAAACAGTTGGCCATTTCAAAACGATGTTATAATATTTTAATTTTATTTCATCTTCACCTCAAAGCATATTTCATTTAGATTTAAACATCGCAATTAATATTGCAGCATTCTTTTAATTTATTCTTTTATAAATTTTAATGAATATAGTAAAATGTTTTATAATTGTTTGTATTTATTGATACTTAAATATTTAGACGTCAACAGTCGTAATAGTAAACCTCCCTTCACACGTTAGGTGTCTCAAAATCCAAGATCGTAAGCCCGATGCCCTCAATAAAGTTTGATAGCACATTATTATACGATGTTGCACATTCGAAGAGGGGATTCTATCTTTAAATAAAAAGAAAAAACCTATCCGCCGACCGGTGAGAGTGACAGCGCGCAACGCACGTATAGCCGCGTGAAAGTTTATCGCAATTTTGGCGCTAACTTCGCAATATTTAAAATTAAATTTAAACTAATATTTATTATTATAAATTGAATAATTGTCCTCAATTTTACCTGTATTTATTGATCTGTGATTGTGATAGTGGAAGTGGTTTGGTTTCTTCCGTCGTAATAAAACAAGAGGATGGCTAACGCACGTCATATCAAAGTAAGTTTGAAAATGAAATTCCTTAATTAGTTCAACTTTTTATCTAATAAAAACAATTAATTTTTATAATAATCTTTTTAAAACAAGATTATAAAAAGAAATATATTAATATTTCAGCTTAATTTAAACTTGGTACATTATTTAAACATACGAATGATCAAAAATACAGACTGTTTTTATTTTATACTGTTAACTGCTTATGTTAATTTAATAGCCACAAATGTAACTTAATTTTCATATTTATTAGAAAAAGTTAATTTTTCACTTCCACCAATAGTTTCTATGTGTTGTGAGAATTTATTTACAATAGATTTTTCCTATAATCGAGTGATGTGGGAACCTATTTAGTTTTTTCTTCTGGAAAATCGAGTTAGAAGCTATTAATACTATCAATATTTATACAAAGATGCGGAAATAAATTAATTCTATATTTCTTGACTTCATTTTCTTTTACTAATTTTGGCATCAATCTATAAATCATTATAATTATAATGTATATACTTACGTTACAAGTTACAAAAATTCAGATCAAAAATCGATATCCCTGTTTTAATTCTAACACTTTAATCAAACTAATATAATGAAAGCGAAAGTTTTGTGTTTGTGTATGTGTATGTGAGTCAATCACGCAGAAACTACACAAGCGTTTATACAACAATTTATATTAAGGGTGTTACGGTTTTGGAAGAAAATATGCTATTTATTTAGAATCTTAAATAAAAAATCTCACGAGAATACTGCTAACATCGAAGGGTAGGTTAAGGAAAATACTTTATTCTTCATGAAAAATATACATTGACTCCAAATGTTTTACTAACTACATGTACGAAACTCTATGAACGGAACCTCAAGATATTGAACATTTATCAAGATTCCATTATAATGTCCTATACATAGTTAACATATGTGGTGTATCTCATCATCAGTCAGTAGCTTTCACATTTCGCTCAAATGCCTAGAAACGTCTAGCCTAATAGTTGGTACAAAGTATGCAAATTATTACAAGACATAAGTTATTGAAGGAATCTTTTAACATTGTTAGGGTTTTACTATAATGTAACACATATTAATCAATGAACTATTTTTAAAAAAAGGTTAAATAAATGAAACGCGGACACATTTTCTGTGCATTGATATCCTGTGTACCTATATCAAATTAGTTGAACCCACATACGTTTTTACTTTATCCTTAATCACAATTTTTATCGATTCATTAATAATTAAATGATATAACTCCCAAACATGAACTCAACTTAAATTGGGTCATCGTAATTATATACAATAAAATTATTAAGTAATTATTTTAAAGCAGCACATCATTAAATTAAATGAAAAATACCTTTTTGTTTATTTTGATGGAATATTTTTAGATCCGAAAGAAATAACCTTTAAAATATAAAAGCCAAAAGTGCAAAGGTTACAAAAGTTCAAATAAGATTTCGGTTTCCAAAAAATGTCAAAGCTTACACTTTTCAGCAAAATAATACTTTAATTCAAGCCTACCAAAATTCTTTACATTTTTAACCCCATTGAGACAAATGAAAAAAAAACCTTTTGGACTTAAATTAAAGTCGCTATACTTGGTACCTATTTTCACAATAGCCGTCATTTTAATATTAATGGTTTGAATATTTATCAATTTTTGAGTATAAATGCTGATTTTTTAAAAAATCTATTCCAAACTCGTATACAGAAAATTTATCAAATCTGGTAGTATCCATTTATTTGCTGACATTTTGCCTGCATTTCGACATTGAAAATAATATAAGTATTGGATATATTTTATTCAAGTAAAAAGAATATTCCCAAAGAATATCTCTAAAACCTAGTAGGTAAATGGTATATGCTTTTTATACCAAAATCATATTGGCTTAAATTAAATAAACATATAAAAACAATTTGATATACAATAAATACATAAAATATAAAAAATCTTTATAAAATATAAGTTCAAAATAAGTACATCGAGTCATAGATTTTAAATACGAACCTAACCCAGAGTTATAATAGTTACCAAAGAAAATCATTTGTAGAGTAATAATAGAAATGAATTTTATATGATTTAATATAAATTAAATAGTAACACAAATAATCTTACGGTTTCATCCATTAATGAAATTATTGATAACTCAAATTGCAGCGTTTTATTTTTGAAATAATTAATATGATGGTCATGCAATATCAATCAACATTCACATTTAACACACTTATAATTTATGTGAACCGTATTATGAAATATCACCCAGTAACCGATTAAATATTGAATAATCTTTCAAAACTTTTAATAACCATCTCCTAAAAACACATTCAAGTATTACTCAATTGCTTTAACCAATTATGATAGCCATTTGTGGTTACAAATAAAAAGGTGATAGCTTCAATTTACAACGATGAGAATAACGTCCTATTTAATCTTCTTATTTTATTCCAGACTTAAAAATACTTGTAAATGAAATACATCATACAAAATCGTTTGTTATTTTTGTATTAAAATCGGAATAATATTTATAAAGATGGTAAAAACAAAGTTTTTTTTAATAGACACTTTAAGATAGATTGTGAAGAAAAAATAAAATGTCATGCTTACTTAGATTTTATAGTTTATAATCGGTCATTGTTTATAATATCACATAACTTTCGTTGAACTGGTTTCACCATTCTTTTGCATTTATTATGTTATTATGTATTTTATTATGTCAATAATCTTTTGATCACGGAAAGAACAATCTATATAAAATCCTATCAGTTATTAGTACCAAAAATTAAGTAACAGTGAACATATAGACAAAAAAAACAGGCCATTTTTTTTCTATCATGTATTTACAAGTTTCTGTAAGCCAGGCCACTGACTTGTGTAACGGCAAACGAAAGTAAAGACGTTTTGCTTTCTGAATACCACTAACATAAACAATAGTTATTTATCATATGATTGACTCCAAACTATCAATTACACCTTACGCTTTAAAATAACATATATAAAGAAATCTTTCACAGAAAATTTATTGCAAAATCTAAAAAGTCTAGTATCAAATAATGCTCTAATTTTTATTTTTGTATGGAATGTACAACATGTTTGGGGCCGATGTTTAAAGGCGTTTATTTTGTTTACGTCGGTCATAGTGAGCTCTATTGCACAACCATGTCAGTAAGATGTTACGTGAGCGAAAGGGTCAATATGAATTTTTACGTCCGGAGAAATACATCCGTATATTAGTATATATGTACTAGATTGTGGAAGAGAAAATAGTCCAATGATATGTTAATATATTATATAATCATTTTGAGAGGACGGTTTGAAAATATTATTCAGTTTATCTTAATAATCGGATTAGTATGAATTTAGTTAACATTATAAAAGAAAAATTAAGAACCTACATTTACTCGGAATATGTTGCACAATTATACTTACATAAACAATACATCGAGTATATAAAAGTGTATAAATAATGAGATTATAAAACTCTAAACACTATTTTACCGTTCACAACAAAATTTATTTTTACTTCATTGCTATAATACTCTTAATATAATTCATATAATGTCACCAATTATAAAAAATAATGATGGCAGAATTAGAGTTAATTGAGTCAAAAGAATTGAAAAATGTCAAGAACTTTAGACAGGTATTTCCGAAAGAAAGTTTATAATTATTATGGTTCTCAGAACGTATGGGCTTGGTCGCTCTCACTAGCGATTGGTTGGTTCAATCATTCATATAAAATGAAATAATATTTCCTACGAATATAAGCGAAGTGATACTGAGTTTTATTAACACTTGTCCGATAAAAGTCTACACATAATAATATACAGAATTATGTTAAATATCGAGTTGTTATCTCATAGAGAAACATATAACATCGTTTGTTATGTAATGAGCGAAGCGGACGTGAGAAGATCCTGTTATTTAGACATGATTACGAAAATATGAAAATATTAAGGTTACATGAAATTTCTGTACTTTTAATGAAATTGTAATGAAATAAAATCATTTATATAAAATCTATGACACTCTATGATAATATATGTAAATGTTAAGATTTATAAAGAATCACTTATCACCAAAACGTGAACTGCATCTAACAGAAAATTGAAGATATGGTTATTATAACTCAATTTCTTATATGTACAAAAACATTAAGACATGTTTCTATTTAATATAAAAAAAATAATCGGTGAAAATAAATAGACTTAACTTAGCAAATATCACGTCAAACAACCTGATATCAATACTGGAACACAACCTTTAATCAGTTGGTCCAAGCAAGCGTGGATTTTCCACTATAAATGGCAATTGCTTACTTCCTTCGCACATTTTTCTACCATCATTATTTTGTAAGCTGATTAAATATCAAATAGTTTGTAATTTTATTTCGCAAAAACACTGTCACATCGCATTGAAGGTTGTATTACGATATTAATATTATTATCTATCGTATGTCATGATTTAAATATAGGTAATAATCTTCTATATATATAAAAATGGATTGCTGTTCCTTAGTCTCACTAAAACTCGAGAACAGCTGAACGGATTTATCTTATCTTAGTCTTGAAATGTTCGTGGAGGTTCAGGGAAGGTATAAAAACTGAAAAAATTTTATTAATTACTGGGAAAACCGTAAAAACAGCCCTTTTCTATTCCCCATACAAACGTTTTTTTGACATTAGATTTGACAACTAATATGTCAATCATTCTGTTCGATTGAAACAGGAGAAACCTGATTATTTATGCCCTCTAAGACAGAATAGAGTTCGCCCGGTCAGCTATACATATATTACTAATGTCGAAATTAACGCGGACGAAGTCGCGGGCAAAAACTAGTGTACAATGATTTTGCAATTATCTAAATTGCAAAAAGAAAAAAATTTTTTTAATTAATTGATTCATTATTTTTGAATCACATTTGAAATTGTTTGTTTTTTATATAATACGTAAATTATATGAAAGTCGCAAATACTCTTATATTCCTATAAAAGTATAATATTGAAAAACTAACAATGACAGGAAATTTAAACGTAGTTTTATTTCTAAAACTCGTTTATCATTAATTTTACTCATCTTGGTATTAAACAAATAAAAAGGCACCTAAATAAAAAAAAATAACATAGTCGAATTAAAAATTAATATATATAAATATATATGGAAATAAATGGCTGATTTAATGGCCACACCGCGGTCATACCTCGAGTAAGTAAGCGGAAGGTAGCTGCGGTCGGAACGCACACCACTTTCCCTTTTCACTGCCAAGGCTCGTGCACAGCTCGATGGTGCTGCGTAGAAAATATTGTAGGCAGTAAATATACTGTTTGGATATATTTTAACATGACTAAATATCTTATATAAATATTAATATCTATGTCACAAATTTCGTCATTCAAAAACTCTTTTCGCATAGTTAAAATTGGCAATGGAGTTTAAAAATTTTAGAGATTTATTTACCAAATATAATTAATAATATTATTCATATAAATATCCCGTTGAAACATACGGGCGAATTTTTTCAAGTTTAACTATAAAAACGGACTTAAAACAATGTTATCTTTAAATATAATAAAAAAGTAAAACACGAAAGTTTTTTTTTTTTTATGTGAAAGGTGGCAAACGAGCAGACGGCCCACTTGATGGAAGGTGGTTACCGTCGCCCATGTACATCCGCAACACGTTTGTTACGGATGCGTTGCCAACCTTGTTTTTTAGGGATAGGGAGGGATGGGAATAAGGGAATGATAGGAAAGGGGTAGGAATAGGGAAAGGGCAACCGGCTCTTTCACTCATCGGACGAAACGCAGCCATTAAAGGCTACTTCACGCCGATCTTCTGTGAGAGGGTGGTACTTCCCCGGTCGAGCCAGCCCATGTTCGAGCTGTAGTAACTGACCACAGCTAGGCTCTACCACCTATATCAGTAATGTTACAAAACAATATAAATATTGTTTATGAATTAATATGTTATAAAAGACTAAAGGATACATGTTGTCTCGATTTGAATAAACTATTATTTACATTACTGATTACTTTCACGGCATTTAAACAAACAATTGTAAAATAACCGTATAAATTTTACCTTTATAGTTCAACAAAGTTCACATCAATGATGTAATAGTGATTCTTATAATAAATGTTTATAACATTAGACAACAAGTTTGTTTACATACGGTCACTTTCATTTCAACTCGTGTGGAATATCGTGTGTCTGATACATATCGCGTGAGTCGCAGCGTAAATAATATAAAGAATTTAATTATACACTACTAACCGATATCGTTTAGATTACACTTGAGCAGTGTATGAATCAATAAACAACCAACATCAAAGAGTTTTTAGAACGTTATAATGAACATTTCTAAATGTATAGGTTTGGTTTTGTCTGGTATGCATGGCCACGTCAATGGCTGTCCCAGTCTACGTACCTGGAAAATTGCAGCTTGATATTATAGACATGGCTGCAATTAGCAGAATGACTCCACAACAGCTTGAAGCTCTAGCTGAGGGTCTTGCAGCAGAAGAAATAATGAGGTACGAGGCACAGAAACATTTCTCCTTATTTATACTTTGTTTTTTCATCGTTTCACTATCCATTGACTCTGTCTAAATAAAAAAAATGTTCAGTATCATTTTATATTTCTTCCAAAAGCTGATTGACACTTTAATTATGATGATTGAAATGAGGATATTTCAAATCTATCTTTATTCATAATTTCTCATTAAATATACTTTTTACATAGGACAAAGCGATCATCCGCACAAGAACTTGCTTCATCAGTAGTTTCAAAGGCTTCATCGGGTCTACAAAGTAAAGTCGGTCTTTTGGGTCAGGCTTCAGCTGGTATCACATCTTTCGTGGCATCAGCCTCTAGCAAGACTGGTCACTCTGAACATGGATACTCTTATGAGCCGGTATAATGATACTTATAAATCAAAAATAATAATTTCAATAGAAAAGTTAATCTGTTAATCATAACATTAATAATATAATTTCAGCACAACGAAAATGTGGACTACTGGGGCTTGAAGAAATCGATCTTCTACACCTTATTCCAAGCTGTAAAGGCTATAACTGGAGGAGTTACAATCCTCAAAGGTCAACTTATCAAAGGAGGTGGTGCTTTAGCGTCAACCTTAGGAAAAGTCATATCTTCCAAGGGTGATGCTGTTAGCAATATTGGAAAGAAGATTGTTAGCTCAGCGGCTCTGAGTCACAAAAAACCATGTAAGTGTTCTTCCAGGCTTTATCTAGGCTTTCGACGAAATCCTACTTACTAGAATCTATTTCTAAAATACGCTATTATCTTACAATGTCAAATATTAATGAGTTTATTTACTTTAATATCCACTTTCTACAGGAAAGTGCGATTCGTTACAAACACAATTTTGTCTGCTATAAAATTTACATTTTACTTGCAATATTTTCAAAGTTGTTAAGCTATATGCTGTCATAAAAATAACTTGGATCGGATGTTGTAGAGGCTTCATTGTTAAACTATGATGTGGTGTCATCCTATTACAAAATTAGCCAGCGTCGTAAAGTTTTATATTTAAAACGTGCTTTCGCATTTGTTAAGTTTATTAATTTTGTCCCAAAATGTTTAATTACATTGTGTATACACGCAGGAATCCAATAAGTCTATAAAAAACATTAAAACTACATACGAGATTATTTTTTACAGTTTTCGCTTAGTATTGAAGCATAAATCATATTCTGTGGAAATGGTACACGCTGGCATAAATCCAGATGAGGATTTTTTCACTTTTATATAAAATTCTTACAATATTTCCGAATTTCACAGAGAAATAATATTTTTTTATCCTTATTGCAATAAATAACTTTACAGTGAATTAATAGTACTTTTAGGGTTAATTTAATTCTGACGAATGTTATAACTATAATACGTAAAATATTTTAATATACGGATTTCTTTATAGTTATCTATTCAAAGAAAAATCTATTTTTATAATCCATCGTGTATCATTCTTTATAGACATTATACGAGAATTAGTGTAAGTCGTTCATAACAAATTATTATTTTTAGAGCAATTAAAGATCATTTTAGACATCTCTTCAACGCAGTGTAAAATAGTATTTTAGAGAAATAAAAGCATATTAATATAAGAACTTATAACATATGTACTTCCCTGGGGAAATACATTACGACATTGAAATCCATTATCTCACTGAGATTCTTTGAAAAATTCTATGAAATTTAATTTCTTTTTTAGCATTCTACTAAATTTTAAGAATTGTTGTAAGTTAAGGGAGTTAATTTACAATAAGGAAAAATATCACTAAAATTATGATTATTTTAAATATTTCGTTCCACATAAAATAGAAAATGTTGTTGAAACTATGGTGCTGAAATTGATTTATAACTAAATTACGACTGAAGTTACCGTTTTATACGGTAGTATAATATATAGGAATCTTATATTTTAAAGTTTTGATCCACAACTTAATATCTTATTAACATACGTTTCAAAATGAAAAGAAATCCTTAATAATGTGTCCATAAAAATATATTCATAATTTTTCATGTTCATAATTTTTAAATGCTCTACACAAAATACTTTTAAAATATTTGTTACGATTATTATTTTAACTGTTTTCTAAACAAGTATAATCTGATTGTTTAAAAAAAAATCGTTGTAATTATTGATCAAAGTCTTTACTTTCTAGTATAATATTAGATATTTCATCATCGCCAAAGTTTAACGAACAAAAGAACGAATATATAAACGAGATTAAATATTGGGTTATCCCCTACCAGGAAAAATGTAATGGGGAACCGTATTAAGTAACTCAAACCCGGACCTACCGTTCCGTTAGTCACCAGAATAGCCGACTCCTTTACTTTCCCCTATGTGTCATGCGTCCTCATTTAATAACTGATTACAAGAAATTTAAAGAAGTAATAAACATTAGTTTCCAAGTACGCTCAAACCACAATGAAACAAAAATATATACTAAGCCTTAACAAAACGTCAACGCTGTTTATAATTCATACATACAACTGCCAGTACTTTTCTTACAAACTTCATTAAAATCCAAGACACGTTCACTCACTCGTAACCACATTCCTTGCAGCACACCCTGTATATGGCCCCCCCGCGGAGTATGCTAGCCCAAGCGGCTATGGAGATTCTGCGCCTGTGCACTTTTCTCACACAGCGCCAGCACACACAGCACCCACTGGTTTCGCAGCTCACAAGTACCCTTCGCATATAGACGGTGAGGCTTACACTCAAATGTAATGTAAACACCAATAAAGTCATTCATAAATCATTTGTTACGAACCGTTGAAAAGTACAAAGAGTAAAAAGGATAGAGCTAGTCAAAGAATTGTATATCAAGCGAAGTACAAACCTGTACTCGCTGTATCAAACTGGAAGGGAATATCAAATTTATATTAAGAACAAAATTTAAACTTTTGACTTCATTTCGGATGAGGAAGACATCATTGCTAATTGATTACAATACTTGAGTTGACAACCAAGTGGTCCTTATAAAATGTTTTGAAAAGTATTACGCAATTAAAGTGGTCGTCAAATGTTTTTAAATGATAATCAGAATGATATAACATTATAAAACAAAACAATAGTCTTAATAAGTAGGATTTCATATGATTCATTCTAATTCACACATTTCCTGAAACACGATAACGAGCATCTTACGTAACATACTCGTATCTATGATTTACAAAAATATAACTTACAAGTTTTAAATTCGAAATATCACTACGGCATCAGCAAAAAACATTCTAAAGAGGAAAAAAGAGATTCTCCAAGACATTTAAGTCTCGAGTAGTGTTTATAATGACATAAAACCTTTCACTGATGTTTATTTATATACTTGAAGAACAAATCCGTTCACGACAGTCAAAATTATGTATACATTTAAAATGAATGAAAATAGCATTATTGTTTCCATAACAATGTCAGTTTTGTTTTTTTTTCTTCTATTCTTCTTTAAAATCTCTCCACAATTGTATAGCAAAACGGTATTGAAAATACTATTATTTTTACTGTAATAAAATAATAAATGTGGTTAACGGTACAGAAACGATCCAATTGTTTAAATACCAAGAAATATACTTAATAAATACAAATCAATAGACGTTAGAGGTCGACGACATATCAAATTCTACGAACATGAGAATAGTAATGGTCAAATTACGTTTGTATTTATCGTTTAACTCATTTCCAACTCTAAATTTGAATAAACATCTCAAAACTTAAGCATCTTTTAAGAACTGTGCTCATTAACATACGTTCACTTTCATTTTTAAACGGAAAGTCACTGTCAATAACGTAACATTTGGCTACAATACCAATAAGAAGATTTTAGGAAACCGTTATATAATTCATATTGTTTCAAATCCTTAACATACTTACACTCTGGTAAAGCAGGTATTCTGTAATGGAATATATAATTTTGTAAAGTACATTAGATAAGTAGGAAACTCAATTACAAATTAAATCCAACAAAAAGTTACAAGACTTTCAAACGCTTAAAGTAATTAATGTACAAAAAGTTTCTATAGCTGAATTCTATTATACGGCGTCACATATCAGGGTTGTCCAGGAACAGTAATTATAGCCTTCCTCCTTTCACAAACCAAGGAAGAATTAAAGTAAGCCAATACTCTTGAAGATTTATCAAGACCACAGGTTAGTGAAAGTGTATTATGTCATTATCCGGTCTGATACGTAACGTGCTAGCTGAATTATTGTTGTAGGTCAAACGACCGGGTCGCCTTAAATGAGCCTAAATTTATTCATAACCAATCTATTCCTACAATCACTGCGCTTACTGGATTATATATTTTTAAGTCAAAAACAACCTCCGCTTTAAGCAAGTCTTATTGATTTATTATACTTAATGTATATTAAAATAAATTCATGATATTACATGATATGCAATCCCGGTAAAAGTGAGAAGTAGAATTCCTGACTTGTTATCATTTAGATCAGGGAAACGCCACAGTCAAACACTATGTCACAATACAGTTACCTCATATAAGGAAGCTGGTCATAAGATGATAAATCGTTATATGGAATAGACGCATTATATTTCACAAGGGGCAGTGTCCACACAATTTCGTTACATTATTAGGCTTTTCACCATATATAGCGAGGTCAATCGATATACTTTTTGAAATAAAATGAAATATCCTTAAACTCGTTTTATATTTTACTCTCGCAATAATATTAATTATTTACGCTACTACGATTGTATATTTCAATATTGATCCTGATTGAAGAGATTATAGGAAAGAATAATGTTTGCGAACAATTGGATTCATTCCCTACAGCTATTTTTAACGTGTGACAGATTACGAAACAAAACGTTTGTTATGTGGACGGAATATAAAAAAAAACGTTAAAGGGTATTGTTATTCATTGAATTCATAAAAAAGGCAGGTGTATGTACCATTACATATGTACATTTTATGTAATACAAAATCACGAGAAATAAAAATAATGTAAGCTGTTGTGACATTTTAATACATTTTATGAGTCATATTTGTTTAAAAAATTATATAAGATATTTTTCCTTTTAAGATATTCCTGTAAAAAGATCGAGTGTTACATAACATCTTTTTATTTTCAAACATTTACACCCATTTTAATATACAACAAGTGGTAACGTAGGTCTAAACTGTGTCATAGTACATGGTTCGTTGATGCCCAAGTTGTATTTTTATGAATTCATCACGTTACGCAATGATCACTCTAGCGATTAATTCGTGAAAGGTGCTAAAAGGTATTGTAGACAATGTTTTTGATTCTAAGAATTAAATTTCTGACAACAATCTTCAATATTTTATAGGTTAATTAAAATAAAACTTACAAATAATTTTAAAGTGCCATGTCTATGAAATATTCATTGAATAAATTATGATTATTCTAAGACTTGTGACAACTGTATGAAATTACTAGTTTTGAACTTTGACCATTTCAGTTTTATAAAATTGAGCCTGAATCGTTAACCTCATTTGATAAAATCGTGCGTATTTGTACTTAAATAAGGAAGTGATAGCTAAAATAGCGTAATCTGCTTAAAGCGTATGTCAGTAAATTATCCTTAATTACAGTTACATACTACTATCAAATTTATTACGTACATCCCTTTACAAATACGTAATTATGTTATTTATTGACATCAGAATGGGTCTATTGACGTCATATTAAATACACTGACGTGACATAACTTATGTTTGACTGATTTTTGAGACAGGACGTGGAAAACTCAGCGGCGTCCACGCCGGTTTGGTCATACTGACGCCTCTCGCAGAAGCAGGAAACATAGAACATCATCAATCAAGTGGTCACACGGCACTTGAACCACCACCGTCACTTCTACATACAGTATACTCGGCTATTAAAGATGCTTTCTCATCTGCCGCAACCCACACTGAAGAAACTGTACTCACTGATCAAGTTCCCCCACCACCTCAACCGATGCCACCTTTCAAGCCAATGGCCTGGGGCGCTGTCAACTCATACGGCGAACCAGCCGATAGTTACACGGATTACGATCCAAGAAATCCCTACCCACCATACAGTTATGCTTCATCCAAATTATCTTCCGCTCCATCGCTACCCAAACACCAAGGTCTCACACAAGAAAAGATCCAAAAAATCAACGCAAATCTAGAGAAAGTTAACGCTTATATAAATGAAAACCACAGATCGTCTGAAGAAGCTCCAAGTTTTAACACACAGTATACCGATATGTTAAGAAAAGGTTTGATTCCCTTCCTTCCTACTCCGGTGGTTAGTGACAATGAGATAGGCGTGCTACCCGGGGAACTACTTCCAGACCCCTTGACCACAACTTCTTCAACTACAACCACAGAATCCACACCAAAGAACACAACAGACAAAGAAAACAAAAGACAGAAGAAAGATATAAAATATATCCTCCGAGGCAACAGGATTGTACAAGTCTGACATTTGACTATTGACTGACCTGAGGTATGTTGATGACTTGACTCTGACTGACTTCCAAAATGTAATGTAACATGCAATGGTGATAGATCCTACTAAAAGTAAGACGGCACTCATAGTCCACTGACTAAGTGATTGTACAAAACTAACTTATTGTTCTAATCTTAGGTTATGTTGTGATTAATCAATATAAATAGTTAATAATTCTGCACAAACTGACTAAAAAGATTTTATTGTATACAGTACTTACTAAATTCCTAACTTATTTGTTCTGACTTCGCTCTTAAAATGTGTCTGTTTCTTCATTTCAGAGGTCCCAATCTACAACTCAGTCCTGGCTGGAGAAAATCTGCAATATTATAACGTGTAATTATGTAAATAAATACAGTAGACACTAAGTTACAGAATAGTCATAATTACAAAATGACCAGTTACTTTAAGTGTCGCAATGGTGATATTCAGTAAAACGTAATCTATTTTATCGTATTAAATTATGTAGTATTAAAATAAACATTATAGGAATCCAAAAGATTTTGAAAACAACAATTTATTTCTTATTTTAAACGTTGCTACGAATAAAGACCTGTTATTGTGTGTGAAGTACATTGGTATTTTATAAATATTTAAAAAGATGATTGGTTCAAATGATGAAAGTGTACATAAATTATGCTCAAAATATATTTAATTTAAAATTTAATATTAAGTATTTTATATTTTTGTAAATAAATGTGGAAGATTATATTTTGTTTCATTCCCTCTCACTCTCACTCAGCCTATAGCAGTCCACTGCTGGACATAGGCCTCTCCCAACACGCGCCATAACATTCGGTCCTCTGCCTTCCGCATCCAGTGAGACCCAGCGACCTTTTTGAGGTCATCGGTCCACCTAGCTGGGGGGCGTCCTACTCTACGTTTGCCGAGACGCGGTCTCCACTCAAGGACACACTCATTCCCTATCTTTGTCAAAAAAATCTGGAATTTGATTGGAAAACGATAAACTGAAGTTATTGTTTCGACAACAAATTAATTTAAAATAAAAAAAACTTTGACTTTGACTATTAATACGATTTACTTTATAGTTTCAAGTTCTCACAAAAAAAAAATTAAAGAGATGTTCATTCTTTAACTTATTTTTGGTCGTTATTGCTTAAATTATATACCATTATGACTGCTGTACAAAATAAATGTAAATTTTAGTAATTTGTTGTATGGTTATAAATAAGGTTTTAAGGCAAATATGCTTGAAACAAGAATTATAAGATAAGCACATTTAAAAAAGTGTTTCACTATGAATTGCTTAAATATATTGACATTAGGATCACTAACCGTACATCAATAATAATAAAGGTAATATTTTTTTATAAAACATTTGATAAGTTACTAATTGCAGTAAAGTTTTCAGTACTAGTAAGTAATGGTTCTTGATTTTCTTCACACTTATGGAAGCGCCATCTATGAAATATGAAGCGAGTCATTGGTGACGGGTGTTAAGGTATTTGAGGTAGTAGCAATATTGTTCGAAGAATTAGTTATTTAAGGAATCCTTAGATGTCGCTAACCAGTAATCCATGATATAGTTTTTAATATAACGTATTATACAAACAATACATTTACTAAGTTTGTTAGACATAAGTAAGCAAACGCCTAATTTGGATGAATAGAATAGAAGCAAAAAATAAATATTTGATTATACTTACAATTAGCCTGAGTTACAATAATTACTATACTACATAAGCATTTTAACGATTTTTTTCTTCATAGAATTCACATATTATAGTAATAACTTTGTTAATTACATGAAAATTTTAGTTTAGACTTGTCTGTATCTGTTAGCCCTAATGACTTTGACAACGTCACTTGGAGGGGACTGAATGAGAAACGGGCATTGCTTCTTATGTAATGTGACATATCAAACTTGGATTAAGCATACAGAGCCATCTATGATTTCAAAACCCTTACTTTCCTTTCCCAGTTTGGGCGGAGCGGTTATAAGAAAGAATATTAGGTATACCTACTTTATGCTTATCATTATTTATTAACTCGGCGGGAAGCGCACCCATATACCAACACTGATTGACGCTACTGGGTAAAAATACCACAATAATATTAATGTAAGAACTAGAGTTATTTTATGGGTAATTAAATTTAACTAATTTTTATATTATATATATTTTCAATTAAACATGCAATGAATAAATTTCCATTATTATTCATAGTTGATTTTATACGTTGAAAACGGTCCCACAAAAAAATATTTTGATAATTACCACCTTATTCAGTATTAAATAGTAGTCTAAAATAAGAAAATTACTAATATCTAATTGTATTTAACATCACAAAAGAATAAAAAGATGAAAAGTCTGTACTCTAATAACTATAATGTAAAAAATGCTTTGTTCACTTGTCAATTACACTCTCATTTTATTTTAAAAATTTTGAGAGAACTCCACCTGAAATATCAATTACATATTGCTTAAAATATACATATTTCAAGCAATATGTAATTGACTTGTTATAATAGGTTGGCAAAATCAAATGGGCAATACATTACAGAATAAAGTTAATGTTTAGTTCCATGAAACATTTTCTTTTATTTTCTTATAAAAATCCGTAATTACTTAGATGCATACCCGATACATAAACATCAGTGCCTAAAGTCCTGATTTATTTATTTTGATTATTTTAAATCCATACACATAAATATTATGCCAGCGTCTACTTGTAATATTGAAATAACCGTTATTTACTACATGCATATGTGATAAAAATATAAATACGGTACATATACCATACTAACACTTTTTTAAACTATTTGTCTGTCTCTCTGTCTGTTTGTTCCGATTAATCTCTGAAATGCTAGAATTGAGGCTAGACCAATTTACAGGTAGCTGATATAACAACGAGTAACTTATACTACTTTTTACTTCGATTCTAAAATTAAGTTTTATTTTAGGTGGGCCGCATGCGGAGGCGAAACGTTTATTTCATTGTTTTTTGTTATTTTTTTATCCAGACCTAGTCACGGGTAACAGCTAGTCATTTAAAAAGTCACTTAAAATAAATCAAATTATATCCAAATTTAGTTATATGACTTATGACCATTTAAGTCTTGCGCTAATTTGTCTTTTGTTTTCTGTTTTTGTTCATTTGTTACATTTATTTGTACTGATGTAATTTACTCGTCGGAAGTAATGTATAACAAGAAGTTATTATGTAATCAAGGCATCGATCGCTTCCCGTTGCTGGGACTTATTACAGTGACTTTCCAATCGTGGGGTGTTATCAGTCGCTCGATCTATACTTATCGGGAAATAATATAACACACTTCAAGTATTGACAATCGCTTGTCATACATTTGTTACCATATTTTTTTTTTTTGTTACCATATATTCACAAACAGTTTTATACAATTTTTCTTCATTTGTACTTAAATGTTTGATATATTCAACGATTTCTAACACTCTCACTTCGCTCAAATCATTGGGACTTCATCATCATTATGATTATAATAGTATGTGGTCGTTAGTTATTACATCAAGAAAAGTCATTTATTTTGATCGAAAAATAAACTTTTAACCTCAGTGCAAGGACAGGGTATTGTGTTTGCAATAATTTTTCTAACAACAACATTCTGGAACAACATACATCTAAAAGTGGTACTTCATATTAGAAATAAGTAGTTAATTAATATTCATATTATATTATTACTGAAATTATCACAAATTATTCATAGGAACAACACATACAATTCATTTATACGAACAAATTATTAATGTATAAAAGTATTTGCATTTTTTTGTGTCATTAATTATATTTAAATCATTGCGCATCTCAAGTAAATTGTTAAAAAAACTATAAAGCCTTTATTTTCTGTAAGTTCTATAAGGCACCGAAGAAAAATTTTATATTTTTCTCATTCTTATCCCCAAGGTGTCTAACTTCACTGGTTGCAATCCACTACATGGTTTCGCCGCTGGTGGGGCAGAAATAAAATGAAATGCTGACCTATTTCATCTCTCACACCAACGGGGCTGTCCTTGAATCGTGACGTAGATTTTAGCTTTTTATTATTTTTTTATGTGCCAGTGTTAAAAGCAATTTGTTTTATAGACTGTGAATATGAACATGCGATAGATAACCGTTGTGTTTGAATTTTACCGCCATTTGTAAGCAGATTAAAATGATGAAGGTATGTATGTAGATTTATGAAAAAAATTGTTTGTTTATGGTATACACTAATTAATTTTTTTTATATTTTAAGAATTAAATTAGTATGTTAGGAATATATAAACTTATTTTATATAACATTAAATAATGCATCATTTTAATTTAGTAAAAAATAACATTGTAATACAAATATTAACTTAATATTATATTTAAGAAGACTCAACTTTCGTATCGATATATTTTAATACTTGACAATTATAATAATTATAATCGACATGCTAGTATGATGTGAAATTTATGAGGAACAGTTGTAGGTCACTAAGTAAGGCACTTCTTAAGTACATATCAGGAATAATATGCGTTTTCTTTTCCATACGACATACCTCTAGAGAGCACCATCGTTTGGACCGGTCCGTCTAGATTTCACATTGCATTTAAAGATAACTATTTATCGCCATTTAATTAAAAGAATCTTAGTACGTTACTGATAGCAATTAATTTATTTCAATGAACGTTATTACTATTACAGATTATTACCCAGCAAATTGATTTAATACTTATCTATTTATAGCAGGCAATCAGCAGCTTGTACTCAACAGTTACTTCAGATTCGATATCGGTTCATTTTCAATGAAAAATAATTACCATATATTTTCTTTCAAGTTCAATAAAAATGTATTTTACATATAAAATGTTTTGGCTGTAAAAGATTATAAATGCTCATGACAAACATTTATCACAATTAGATTTTTTTTTGTAAACGCAGAGAGAACGAATTGCTTTTAGACTTAATTACTTCTAGACTATATACGCCAATAATTAGGTATTTTTATTGTTTATAATTATAAAAATAGTATAATTTTCTAAAATAAAAGTAGCCAGAATTTGGAGATTAGAGGGAAAACCAAACATGATAAAGAATGCTCTTTCTATATACAATATTTATACGCCATGTTTATATATTTGCATTTAGTGAAAAGCTGTTACTTAAATATTACAAACACCACTCCAATTTTAGTTATTTGTATGGAATATTAAATAAAATACTATATTATCGATGCAAGTGTCAGTTTACGATGCGATAACATAGAAATATGATAATAATTTTTGCATTTCTTTACATTGAGGCCCATGAATTTCGGTCTCCTTTTATAATAAGTTACTTGTGAACAATGATTTGCGTTATAATAATAAGGCGTAGAAGTTAAACCTAAGGAGGTTAATTCGTTATTTTTATAAACAAACCCAAGCGAAAGTAAATTTTGTCCCACATGAGTCGTATGTCCAGAAATTTATACTCCATAATAACAGTAACAAACACAATTCATCGCGGTAATTTCTCTAGCGGACCAGCAATTAGACTGAAGAAAACCGTTAACGTTATGCCTTATTTGTTGCACGTGATGTATAAAAATATTTAACATAATATAACAAGTGAGAAACATATTTATAACAACAAAATTAATATGCATCATATGAGAAAGCGTTATTTAGAATTTTGGTATAATAACATACATATTGAGTACTTATAAAATAAATCTTTTATGATTTTCCCAAACAAGGTTGATGTCAGGCAGGCGGCCGGTCGTAAAAACAATTAGCCAAAACTATTCACAATATGTACCTAATGCAGACCCTGGCTAAAGCTGGGAAATTGTCAGGTAGAAGAAGAAGAAGAGTACTTATAAATTAGGTCTTTTATGATCTTTAAGCTCTCAGTATTTTCAATTTATTACTATTCCTAACAGAACAAGCTATATTTTTTAAAACCCATTGTTTTTCTGACATTAATGGCCATGAAAGTTGAGGTTTCAGATTTAGGTACATCTAATTTCGTTGGAATAACGCATTAAGTAGGTAATATAAAAAAATATAAGGAATTTTATTCGTTACTAAGCACACAAACTGTCCATAAATAAAGGAAGTAATAAGGAAAATATTTATTTCATTAAATAAATTTAAAGTAAACACATTAAAACCAGCACGAATTTTAAGATCGTTCACTTTCCCGGAGTATAATTTTTTTATTTATTTACTGTCATACGATTTGTAATAAGTTTGAATTTAGTTACTAAGTATATGTTACTTTTAGAAACAATTAATTCTATCAGGAAGTAAACAGTGAAAGGCGTATCTATACATAAGTTATTGACTGCATTATTCAGAAAAATTAATTAATTATTACTATGACATGCAGTTGCGAGAGTTGCGTTCTTGAAGTTTACTTTTTTAAACGACATTTCTTCAATTACGTGATCATCGATAATTTTTTAACTATGTTAGATAAGACATTATTAATTCCATAAATATATTTCAGTCATTACACTTCTAAGTACTTTTTAATATTTTTACGTTAAACATTGTTAATGTAATTCCAAAGAGGGCATATAAAAGCTCTTTTATGTTTAAAATTAAATTTATTTTGACAATATTTTTAGAATTTATTTTGAGAATATATTTGACTCTTTTTTTAATGCAATTAATAAAATCAAGTCTTTATAACCAATAGTTATTTGTAAAAGTTTCACTGAAATACGTCTTCAGAGAAACGGTTGCATGATTGAAACAATTATGTCACTTAAATAAGTGTATGAAAGTGAAATGAAGTGACAATAACCTTGAATGATCCTGAAAAGAAAATGTGATGATCAGAATACTATACTGATTATTTAAGATAGTTGGTTAAGAAGCGTGCAAACTATTTAATTTTTTTGCTATAGGTAGACCACACGAGAATAAAAATTATTACTTACATACATATATGTTTTATCTAATCAAGGAGTTATTACAGCAAAAAGATTGAATAGCCACCTGTTGTGCCGAATATTCTATGTTTAATGTACAAAACTCGTACCTCTGAAGTTAATGATTCAGTTATTTTATAAAACGTTTTTTCCGGCAACGTCTTCTCTCTTTAAATAGAAACAACATACCAGTTGTGGAAATGCAACTTATTTTTATATCCGTTTGTTAGTCTATATAAAGTTACAATTTCTACATGTTGGTTGTCCGTATAAAAAATGAGATGATTGACAGTACAAGAAAACGTTGCACACTAAAAACCATAAGATAAATATGAATTAGAAGATAAATAAACATTAAAGTAATCCAGTATCTTTCTGATAAATCATAACATGTCCGCTTTCGGTTTTATATTTAATTTATTTACAGATAATCTTATTACTCGTAACTTTGTGGACGATGTCCCATTCTGCGTACGTAAGTCGTATAGCAGCTATGAACAGACTAAGAGCGCCTGTGGCCTTCAGACCAGGCGTCATGCTGCAGAGGCCATATCCTCAGCGAGTTATTCAAAGTGCCACAAGACGAGCACCGTATATAGTTTATAGAAATACTCCAAACAATCATAGGTACGTACAAGAAAGCACAATAACTTCTAAGGCTTCTTATTGAACCAACATTTTTATCATCTTCTTGTATAAAATAATTGAAGGTACCTAAACTATTTTAGCATAGAACAAAAACTTTCAAAAGAATCTAATTAGACAAATCTATAGATATATTTAATTTAAAATTTAAGGAGGTCCTATAATAATCATAATTGTCAGATTCGCCGTGAAGCACGTGTCCCCTAATCCGGTCCGAAATGTGTTTGGTCCTTGGAAGACGACTCGTATACCATTCACCATGTCAAGCCCTACTCCTGGAGTATTCATCAGATCTGCCTCACCTTCACCAGTGATAAATGCTGATGGTACAGGTTGACTTGCTGAGCTGCACTGCACTATATTTAGCACCCTTTGACTAACATTTAAAACTATTTTTAAAAGACAGATATTTGCAATTTTAATAATTATAACACTCTATCCTTTTATGCTTAGTTATACATACATCGTTAATACGAGCTTCTTCAACAGTTTGTATGCTAATAATTTATTATTCTTTTTATGCACGTAAGTAAAAACTTGTTTTTATATATCACATTTGGAAGTCTTATTTCAAATATCAGTTTTATTATTACAATTAATTTAATATTAAGTCTACTTAACTATAAAACACAATTTCTGAGCACAGAATTGCAATATTGTCATTTGTTCACGGCAATTCCTATGAGTATCATTCAACAAATTTTTTTCAAAAATTCTAAGACTGAAGGACATCTGTAGACATACGGGTTTTTTTAAATAACAAGTTTTCGTAGAGTCTTAGTTATAGTAAATGAATGATATTCACTGAAACGCCGTGAACAAAGACGACCGATTCAGTCTTGTTTGACCATAGGTGCTATCCACACGATCCCAGCCCCCAACCTCAGCCTGTCGGAGAAACCAATTGTGGTCATCGATTCGTCAGAGAACAGTCGTAAACAAGAACAGGTAAATAAAACTATCAATACATAACTATATATTTTACAAGTTATTTATTCCGTATTTCTAATTTTAAGCAACAAAGGACGTATGAAGTGACAGAAAAATATTCTGAACAACCATATCAATCAAGCCCAAAAATTGATACGCCAATAGGATTCTCCAAGGCGTCGGTGAGTGCCTGATTAATATCATGAGCAATTGTTATAAAACGATACCAAAAGCTTTATATTTGTTATCTTTAAACAGGCCGTACCAGCTGATGATTTACAAAAAATCGTACGACAAAATACAGCTTTACAATTACCTCCAGAATACACATTACCTGTACAGTTTTCGCAACCAGCTATTCAACTACAACAATCATCAATAGTCCCTCAGCAATTTACATTTCAGGTTTGTATAATTTAAAATTACAAATAATACTTATTGGACGAAGGTTTTCAGCACTCTATATAGAACATAATGAACAAGTAATTTTTATTCTCTGTTGTAGGGATTTCACACAGTATCAAATCAACAAGAAGTCGTAAATAGGGAACCAGATCATATAATTATACCCCAAAACGCCTTTTTCCCTCCGGATGCATTATTTATGCAGAATTTCCAGACGCAATTTGTACATCAATTTCCTCAAGCTGAGTTTGTTCCTTACACACCAGAAACTCAAACACAATATCAGACACAACCCACGGAATCACACACTGAACTATTATTGTTGCAAAACGAAGAAATAACGAGGCAAACTCCATCGGCTTTCGTATCAAATGATGCACATAAAACTGTTGTTCAAAGAGAAACTCAGGAAAGTTCGTTTTCTATAATACCAAAAGGATTTTCCTCTAAGAATGTTTCAGAAAATTTAATAGAAACAGAAGTCACATCACCTATTACTGAAAATATAACGTCATATGTAACTCCAACTACACCACAAACACAAACTACTCCTACTAGTAATAATTTAGTTGAAACCATCACTGAACCTATCAAAACAACGCCTATATTCTATGCTCAAATAGGACAAAGTGTTGGGAATGTGATCGCAAATGGATTTTACTCAGCAATTAATGATGTAAGAGCTGCCGCTGAAGCTAATATGGTTAATAGGAATGATACTGTTGAAAGAAATGAAACAGTATCGCAATCAACAACAACTACCACAACAACGACAACCACAACAACTTTTACTCCTTCTACTGAAGAAACAACAACACAAAGTCTTGAAATCAAGCCTTTGGCACAAAACGATAGGAAAACAGAAAGCAAAACAAGAGATTTGTCCAAATTAAGTCTAGGGTCACCATTTGAAAAACCAGCTCCATCTCTAAATGTAGCCTATACTTTACTAAGAGCTAATGATAAACAGCCAAGAGTCAATCAAGATGGCGAAGTTTTTGCCGGACAACTTGTAGAAGCTAAAATAACCGAAGATCAAGAATTCAATAAGGAAAAGGCTAGTTTATTAAATAGAGCACCAGTGAAATTGTTCGCCGAGAAGAGAGTATCTGATTCAACACCAAAACAAACAGTGGTCAAAGCTAAAATTCCACCAAAAAGTAAACTAATATTTGATGACAAGACCGGGGAACCAGTGCTGCGAGTGTATGCCAGTTACATTGATAGTCCAGTACAGGTATAACCTAATAATTAACTCCCACTTTTTTATTGTATTGATTGTATACATAATTTTTATAATTTCAGAAAGAAATAATAACAACTAAACTATCAAACATGAAACGTCATAAGGATAAAGATCCAACTAAGAAGCAAGATTCTAACGTTGACTGGAAAGAAGACGATATTAAAAATGTAGAGACGTCATTTCCTGACTTCGAACAAGAAACGCAATTTGGTCTCAAACTTAGGTCAAGAAGTGATCATTACGTACCTATATTTGATGACTATGAAGAATAAGACATATATATAAGCTTAGAATAATTTCAACTTCATTTTTGATGTTTTAAAATGTATGAAAATTGTCGTCTTTATAAAATAATATTATCATTAAGTGGGTGATAGCTAACGTGTTTTATATTATGTCATAGCATTTAACCAAATAATGACATTAGAATCTAGTGACAATTTTATTTTTGTCTTTTTAACTAACTTAATTTTATTTAATATATTTATTTAGACTATGTATTTATTATCTTATTTATCAAATTAATTTTAAATAGGTTTAGAGATTTGTAAATATTGACGCATATCCAGATTAAACTAACGTTTAGAAATTATAATCAATTGACTATTATAATGTTAATAAATAAAATATCAGTTACAAATAATTATTTATTTTTAAATCAATATATGTATAACAAACCTTAGAAAGACGTATCAAACGAATTCTTTAATTGTAAGAGTATAAAATACAGATGAGATTATTCTCGTCAATTAATATTTCAACCTTGGGGCTTTAGACTTCGACTACGTAGTCAACGACTATTATATAATATTGATCTAAGAATAAAAATTACTGACTTTTATACTGGCTACGTTGTTTCTTTAATATAAATCATTTTCTTTCTTTCTTTTTATAATGAATCTAATTTATCTACACGAACATGTTATAAGTACATGCAATTAAAGATCAACAAGTAAAAATTACAACTCAAATTATAAAACAATTTATTATAAAATGAATGTTAAGGTAAAATTCTAGATATTTCTTGTTACTGCACCTCTCTTTACAAGTAAAATTTCAAAATAATTTTAATGATGTTCATAGTTTACTTTATAAGATTAAGAACATGCGAGTTAATGTCTATTTTCCCGCCAAAGAAAAGTAAGCATAATATTGACAGTAAAATAAAAAAATAATATTTAAAAATTTCACTTGTACATATAATGAAATAACCCTTTAACTTTCCTTGTTAAGTCTGTTTTGTTAATCTGAAATATAATTTTTTTGTAAACCAAGAAATGTACATTTTATTAATAGAAAACGTTAAAAACTTTGTAAGAAACCTTCATACATAAACCATCTAAAGGAGAAACGAAAAAACCAAATTTGTAAACACAATTTTTCAATATAACACTCCATAAAGACGAATTTATTAAGAACCTCTACAAAATTTGTGATGAATCCACTGAGAAGGCAACCTTTTTATTTCAAATTGACCAATGATTATTGCTTCTGATAAATTATTATCTGTGGACGGTATATATATAATATTTATGAGTTTATACAGGTTGATACAATAATTTATACTTCATATGTTTCATAGAAATTTCCCAGTGGATATTTCATACTACTATTGTAGTTTTTTTAATTGGTCCATGAACCATGGATAGCCGACGCCTCGTTTTGTTAGTATGTCACACCCAGTCTCAGTTACCAACAGAGTTTGTTCAAACTGTAACAAAAATAATATGAATTAATAACAAAAATACATCCTTTATAATAGATATACTTGGTACTGATAAATGATTATAGTAGTTCACTTTATTTTATTAGGGCCTGTCACTCAGTCTTGCTACTTATAAGTTATAGCACAATACACATACAGTAGACTCTCGTTAATTCCAAACTCCGATAATAATTCGAACCTCTCTATAATTCGAAGTTATCATGAGTTTTCTGCAAAATCTCTTTATATTTCGAACTAAATACATTTTCATGCACGTGGTAATTCGAACGAGAAAATCATTGCCATATAATAAAACAACGCGTTAATTCGAACTCATCGGCGTCCAACACTCGACAATTCAAAGTTAAAGACGTCGAATGATTTTAAGGCAAATGGCGACAAATCTAAACTTGAACAAACCTTTAACAGAGGTGTCAGATAAGAAAGCACGATCCTTATTGGATACCTTACAATGCTTCTGTTTACAAAACGAAAGTGATGAAAAAACATTTCAGGCACTTTTTCTCGTAAGTAAAGTTATGGAGCAGTCCGGACAGCAGCAATGTGTTTTGAAACATACCAGTATAACAGAGTTTTTTTGAAACATTAATTTGTTCACATTATGAATAGATTTATTATATATAGAAATGTACGTGTATGAATGTACACTATAAACTGTTTTCATTGTTATAGAATAGCTGTTAATAAATAATTAGTTATTAATCAATACTTAGTGATACGAAGTTTATTTTTTCCTCTCACAAATCTTGAACAATTTGATATTTCAAACATTCGATAATTCGAAATATTTTAAGAGTTCCTCGAGTTTCGAATTAACGATAGTTGACTGTAGAACAAATTTAATTTAGTTCTATTGCATACAAAAATACTAACACATATCTACAACTACTCTCATAAACTTGCACATCAATGAATTAAGTGACATTCAAATCATATATTTTGCAAAGTTCCAATAAATAAAGTAGTATTTTCATCATTACTTCCTGGTATGGGTCAACAAACCAAAATACATGTAGAAGTACAATTGACATAGTATACTAAGCATATATGGTGAAGGAAAACATTGTGAGGAAGTCTGGACTTATAATTTCACAATTGTAAGTTTGAAATCACCAAGCTGTCTTGAGCAAGCATGATGATTAAAACTCAAACCTTCTCCATGTGACAAGAGGCCTTTGCTCAGCAGTAAGCTCTGATAGGCTGATGTCAACGACTATACATATATATTACTAGTAATTTTTTTAGATACTTTATATACAAACCTGAGCAGATCTTGATCCATCAGCGGTAACTGCTGTCCAATTGTCTGGCCACTGTTCATCCCTCCATGCTCCCTCATTAATCATCGGCTCAATAGTGAAACAGTGCCCTGGCTTCATAACACCCACAGCTTTATTCTCTGCAATTCAAGTGTTACTTACTAGTAATGCAACAACAAAACCTTCTACTATCATTTGTGAGTTAGACAATCAACCTATATATTTATTGTGTATAAGTTATACAGTTTTGTAAAATAATAAAATAATGTCAAGCATAGTGTAGGTTAGGTTAAGGTCAGTCATTCAGTGGTTTTACTTAGCACATATATACATATATTACAAATTTACAAATGTAGTTTCATTAAATACTACAGTCTTATATAAAGAATATACTCACTTGCATAATGAGGTACATTTGGTGCTGTATGGAACAATCTATGTATACCGTGCCCACAATATGACCTTACTACACTGAAGCCATTAGCTTGAGCATGTTTCTGAATGACATTACCAATTTCTCTATACTTCTCTCCGGGCTTGACAATTTCTATAGCTTTTTGTAAACATTCATAAGTTACTTGTACCAGTTTTCGAGATGTTTCCGGTACATTACCAACAAAAAAGGTTTCATTTAAGTCACCGTGGAAGCCCCTGTGATATACTGTTACATCTACATTGCATAAATCGCCATCCTGTTAACAATTTAACTCTTATTAGACATGGCATATGTTTACAAACTGTTAATAACACTCAAATATTGAGCTTATTTCCATTTGAAATATTGGTTATTAAATCACCATATAACTAAAGCAGTTGTTCCCAAACTTATTTTGTCTACTCTCCACTCAGTAAATTAATTATTTTTAAGCACCCCCATTTTTTCACCTACTGAAGAACTACATTAAATTGAAATTGGTTGGGATAAGTATTATAACAAAATGAATTTACAAATCAACTCTATGGCTTCTACAATCCTCTCATTTACTTTTCCATGTTAGAGTGTTGTCACCAACTTTGAGAAATTCTGCTTTAAAGGCATATGAAATACTATTAACAATTACATCACTAAAACTTATACCTCCAATGGGCGCAAATCAGGAATTCCATGGCATATGACTTCATTTACTGAAGTACAACAGCTGTTCGGGAAGTTGTGATAATTCAGAGGACTTGGATAGCATTCTCTTTCAATACATGCTTCGTGCACAACTCTGTCGATCTCATCAGTTGTGACACCAACATCGCAGACTCTGAAACATTTACAATACATGAATATCTTTATATATATAATTCTTCTGTGAGTGTATGTCACTGCACTTCTCTCAAACAACTCTACCGATTTTGATGAATTTTTTTGTGTGTTTTCAATGGGATCTTGGAATGGTTTAGATTCACAATTTTGACCGCTGGACAATGTTTTTTTAAATGATTTTTAGTTTATTAGTAGTTGTTGATACAAACATTTTTTTACTTTAGATTTGACAACTAATATGTCAATAATTCTTTCGCACTTCAAAACACGGAGATATATGGCTTTAATAGGTAAACTCCAAAAATATAAATAAAAAAACAACAGATATTTCTTGATTATAGGGCGATACGAAGTTCGCCCGGTTTTCTTCTAGTTTAATATAAATTATCACTATCACTACTCTATGTGTATTGATGAAATCATGATTAATCACGCGATTGAGTCTTTTAAAATAATACTCACCTTGCAGCTTCGTCTAAAACTTCTCTTCCGAGGCGACAGGCAACCCTCATTCCTTCTATCTCTTCATCATCTAGCACTTTGATTTGTCCGGAGCCTTTAGCAGCATTTTCGGACGCCGGGAACCCGGTTGGATGGTCGGCATAATCAGGCCGCCCTATATGACTGGGAACAGTGCGCTTTGGACCCGGAGGAAACGGCCTCAACTTCCCCGTGAAGTTGTAAGATGGCCAAGGATTAAACTCAATACCAGATACATCAGTCTTTTCACCTTCTATAACAAAAACACAATAAAACTTCTATTTAATGAACCCTCGCACCTAACCTATAAACACTCACTCGCCAACGAATGGATTAGTTTGTGAGACTTCCACGACTTCTTGAAACATTCCTGATTGCAGAAGAACGATCCCTGCACCCCAAGTTTTATACATGTTGGACACTGTAGTTGTGCAATTGACTTACAGCCGGGCGTTTCGCACATTCCAATTGCGGCCATTTTAAATTATTGCAGTTTTTTTGTGTATTCGGTTATTTCTATCTGACAGGTGTCAGTTTTGATACTTTGATATAATATGGTGTAGTTTAGAAATACATTTGATTTTATACTTTAGTATTGAATAATGTTATTAATTAAAAATATTCACTGTAATGTATTTGGAATTTGGAAACTTTTGTTTTACTTTTGAATTTGTATTTCGTGTTCTGTTTGACATTATTGTGTTTGTTTAAGATTGACTATATGTAGTCTGTACCCGCATTAAAAATGATTTGGCAATATTGCCAATATTTAAACTAACCAAAACAAACGGATATAAAAATGATTTAATGCTATAGTTAGTCCGCAGACCTACCTATGTCTTCATATTCTAAAACACCTTCAACAGGTAACTCCAATTCAATCATATTTTGTCCTTTAGTTAACTGCAAATTGAACCTAAATAATATATGTAAAACAAAAAGTAATACGATTTTGTTAGATCAGGCATTGAAATATAATTAATCCAATTATTTTAAACACTGTTATTTCTTTAATAGGGTTAAAATATCTGTGGTACCTATCATATTTACTTATTGAATAGGTAATAAATTAAAATTTCTACTTACGTTGCAAAGTTTGTCGGACCTGATACAGCCAACCGTCTGGTAAATCTAAAGATCTTATGAAAGCGTTTCTTGATTGTGTATATAAATAGTTAAAACTTGTTAAAACATCATTACAGTTCATGGCAAAAGTACAGATTCGTTAAGTAAGATCTTAAATAGCTGCAAATACACAAAAATACAGAAATTTACAATATGATTTTGTCAATTCTGAAGTTGAAAGAACTTCGTATTCTATTTTTGTTACGCACTCGTTCCAGCCAGGTTTATCCAGCAAATAAAATTTGCTCATAAAAATTCATATGAATCATCTCTCTGCATACCACTATTACGTAGAACATACATAGATATATTTTGACTAATTTGTACAGTGTACACACATTGTTAAATGCCGTATGATATTGGAAACTAAAAATTTTGGAGGCATTTAGTATAAGTGTTCCGTGAATAGGAATTAATTTTAGTACATTTAAATGAAACTAATATTTTTCGGATATACTGACGCGGTTCACTTTTGTGAAAAAACTACGAACTAAGTAATTCATTTAATAGAATAAAACTCGCGAAAATCTTAGATTTGAATAATTTTATTACAGTCATATCAATCAGTTTTTATACATGTTGAGCATACCTATGCTACAAACAGAATTACTTTAATCTTTTCTTGGTTTTTTTATTTACAACGTGCGTAAAGTCAGACGTTAACCAGTCCCTGGGGCGTAAGATCCTGAACACTTGGATATTGGATTTTTAACGAGTCTATAAGAAGTCCCCTCGAATAAAATAGGTTAGTGTAACAAATGAAATGAGATTTATTATGTATACGCCTTAAAAACACTTGAGCAAAAAACATACGATTCCTTTCGCCACTAAAACCTCCCGTAAAATATGAACAAGATCCTATATTACTGAAATAATAAATGTATACCTATACATATATAAAAGTAATATATAGACTTGTTTTGTTTGTTAGTCTTTCGCTAAAATATTATGTATTTTTGGCAAATACAAAGACTGTCTTACTTACCATTGATTCGATAACTGCTTATTAAAATTTTAAAAATCTATTTTTTATCGTAAAAAGCTTTATGAAAGTATGATTGCGCTTTTTTGGTGATACGAAGCAATTCATTGAAAATTTTTGGAAAATTATTCCGTATTAAACTCACCTTTCTAATCTAAAATAAGTAATTGGTATATTGAAGTGATAATGGAAAATCCATAGCAGACAAAATCCAACCATACATTTTTATTTGAAAGGCACGAAAATATACATATGTACAAGGAAGAGGCATGTTAAAAATAGGCATAATATTTATGGCTGGCTGTAATGTGACATGCGATAGATGGAAAAAAAATTGGGGTGATGCAATAATAGGTTATCGTTTTTAAATATTATCATTTTTAAATTTAAACCAATAATATAAATTAAATATAATTATAATAACAACAGTGCATCCAAATAAAACGTCTTCATATATAATATATTATATAACCCATAGACGAGACTAGAATTCATATATTCAATAGTTATGGAGATATTAATCCCTTCAGTGCATGTATTATGCTAAAATATGTACATACTTTCGGAGTTAATTTTCATTTACCTGTATACCCAGTGATAATATGACCCATTTTCATAACTATTTTAAATGTATTTGAAAGAGGTCAGTCCCAAAATTCACGATCGTACCAATCATTTTGAAGGTAAAATTAGCACAAATGATATATAAGATCTAGATACTTTAAATTTTTAAATAGGTACTATGAGATCTGAGATTTTCGCGAGTCATTTAAATGAAACTAATATTTTGCGGATATACTACATACGCCACTTTATTTTTGATATAAATTATATACTCCCGACGTTTCGGTTTTTTTACAGCAACAGTGATCACGGTTGATCACAATCGTGATCACTTCCGGAGTATGAAGTTTATATCAAAAATAAAGTCGTGTTGTTTATCCGCAAAATATTAGTTTCATTCATTAATACTTATCGTCTCGCATTTAATAGGCCTTAAAAATGTTAAAACCATAAATATGTAAACCTCCCGTCTTAAGATCTAATTCCATATTTGTTTTTTTATAATATATTTAATGACACCTAAACAAAATATATTAAGATATGAATATAATATTCAGTTACCATAATGGAATTTTCATTTGGGAAACATTATCAAAGTCTGTATTTGCGAAACTGAACTTGTGTGCATACATCTTATAACTTAAATATGATTTCTGTAATGAAATTAAATTATAAGTCCCATATTATATGGCAAATTTTAAACTAAATCTAATGTAAAAGATATTAATTACATAATATATATATTTTTTGAATAATATTATATAACAGCCTACGTCAACGAGCGATCAAGTAAGAGCTTGTCTTAAGAATTAATGTATGTATCTATAAAGTACGAAATAATATTATGAACATAAAAAAAACACTTATTTACAAAGATAATATACTATGTCTAATAAACTTGAATAGAATTAAGGTACATGTAGGTTTTTTTAATAACATTTTATAGTTATAAATCACGAATTGTTAAAAAATTTAAGTACATACGTAAATACATAGTTACATATGGGTTTCATTTATCATGTTACTGACTTTCAGTCCTATATAGAAGAAAGTAAATGTTGTTGTATATTTTTATATCTCTTTAAGATCTAATTAGTTTCAAACTAAACACCAACAAGATTGATATTTCAATATAATTGAGATATATGTACAATTATGTGATCACAAAAATTGTTACCAATTAAATGAATATTGTCATCAATAATATCAGCATCTAGTGTTATACATTATTGATCTTATTAGTATATCAGTTTTAATAAGTTTGTTAAAAAGCCACTGAGAAGCTTTTTAACTCGAGTTGATAGAGATTACAATGAGTATTCTGCGACAGAGAGTCGGAAACACTGTCTTTCTGACGGCAAGCACTTTGAAACTGTCCCAGCACTAATTTTCCGGTGAAGACACTAATGGATTGCATTATTTTACTGCGAAGTGAAATATATACGGTTTTTGAATCATGATATCCGAAATATTGTCTAAATTATATCTAAGTATTGCAGTTTCTAATCTTGGCCGAGTTGAAATACACCCACTTCATACCCATATATATAAAGTTGTCTTGATGCTCCGTAAACCTACGCAAATATTGGCTGTCAAATTATGCTCAGCAAACAACTGTGTTCATGGGATAAACAGACGTTTTAACATAAATACTTAGTATATTTACTTATATCTTGTGGATGGAATCTATCAGTCAAGTACTATATGTTTAGAATATTTTGATAAATTCACCTAGCAACCCTTGTTCTGAAGAGGCCGGATTAAAAAAGAATGTACATTTCAATCGATGTTTAAAGATAAGTTATTAAATAAATTTATTTTTTGCCTTTTATCTAGTTTACAGTAAATAGTTTTATTTATCCCTATGTTACGAGGAAAACTTGCTCATACCAACAAATTGAAGGTTTAAGATTCTACAGTTAAGTGTGTAAAAATCGACTATAAGAAATTTCGATATATGGATTTCAATACGACAATATTTGCCATCCCACCTCATATTATATAAACCTTTATGTTAATTTTATATTTCTTTTTTTATAACATATAAAAACAATAAGTGTAGTCTTCGTATGTAAAGCTAAAAAAGTTAAAAGTTCTAACTGGGAGAAGTCAGAAAGAAGTAACCTACTAGCAAATTGTATTTCCACATAATTTTTTGTAGAGTATGATTTGTCAAATGTAAATCACAAAAAGAATCAATCCAAGAACAATACTTATAATCTTTTTTCATATTTTTGTAATCTGCATTTCAAGATAATTTATATTTTTCTGGACACTTTATTAGCGATCTTTTTCCATGCAAGGTGATGATCAAAGGAATACAAAAAGTAACTTATAAAATTGAAATATCTCCTTATAATATGATAATCATGAAGAAACAAAAAAAAAAACAAATCGTATATTTATCGGCTGTTCATACGTATACTTTTTTTTACATGAAAACCAGCTTACGTATTCAAAAGTCCTTCAAGTCAACACACGTGGACAAACTCCCCTAGACAGATGTAAAGCTATTATTCCAGTGATTCAGACAGTTAATGATGGAAAGCCATAATGGTACCAACTGTGGCTACCAATTTTTAACTTATCTGGTTTAACGCAGCTGCGGAATGAATCTTTCAAATCTTGAAGACCAGTTAATACGAAAAATAACAAAAGTTGTAACGCATTTAAACTAATGTGTAGTTTATATTACTAGAGAGGTAACCTTTGAGCATTCAATGGATTTACCGTGCGGGTGTCTGGTTCATCGCGTTAAAGGGAGAGCAGCTTCAATAGTGCCTGTGACTTGCGACCCTGGTTAATTC